TTTGCAGAGTAATAGCCACCCCGGTGGCACAGTGGTATATCTGCGGACTTACAACGCTAGAAACCGGGTTTCTATACCCGTGGTGGGCAGAGCACAGATAGCCCTTTGTGTAGCTTTTTGCAGAGTAATAGCCACCCCGGTGGCACAGTGGTATATCTGCGGACTTACAACGCTAGAAACCGGGTTTCGATACCCGTGGTGGGCAGAGCACAGATAGCCCATTGTGTAGCTTTGTGCATAAATTCAAACAAACAAACAAACCGATCAGCCTGCCCCCAGTGGCACAGCGGCATGTCTGCGGACTTACATCGCTAGAAACCGCGTTTCGATACCCGTGTGGGCAGAGCACAGATAGCCCATTGTGTAGCTTTGTGCATAAATTCAAACAAACAAACAAACAGACAATCATTACTATGCCGTAGTAAATCACTGTAAAAAAAAGTCATAATTTCGATATGTGCATAACGTATCTTTCATCCAAAAATATATTCATATAGACTAGAGTAAAAACAAGAAGTTATTAGTAGATGTAGCTCAGAATCTTTACCAGACGTTTCATAATTTTTTAACAGAACGTGATCAACTCACATCGTACAGTACCAATTGATCTTCTTAGGTTATCTTTAAAAATCAGATGAAAAATATAAAGTTCATTTACCAATTTGCACGTATTGGTCAATTCTCTTTAGAATACTAGATAGTCGTTTAATTTAAAACGGCTTAGAAAGTAGGTAAATACACAATACCGTGTAAATTTAAATCGACTGTAACGGAACAACACCTTCACATTGACATGGACTGAAGAGGACACGTGGAAGTATCCATATACATTTGGCGTTGTTCCGTTATTGTGGACGTAAACTTTATCTTCGGCTTCAAAAATGTTCTTAAAAGTTCATAAGATTCTTTATGATAAAACTAACCCTGACTTTTTGTATTCTTTTTGGTTCAGTTGCTACGTCACATAGAAATCTTGATACCTGTGTAACCATGGATGAGGTGATGGGGACACTGTTCAATCGGCTGTTTCCTTTGGTCCCCCAAAAGTACTTCTATATCTGTAAGAACACCCATCAAGGAAATGGTATGATGAGGGATGAGGGGATCGAGACTGCACAGTCGACTAAAGACCCACATCTGTTCGGGAAAAAGTCGACTTCCAACTTATGGCACCTTCACGAGAAACACCGAAAAAGAGGCTCCGACTGTATGAGAAAATGTATAGCGCAAGGAGTCCTCCACCCTGTCCAGTGCCATTCTTTGTGCTAACGATGCTTTCCGACGGTAAACCAAATGGATGTAGTATATATCTTAAGTAAAGTTATGTATTTTTGGTACTTACATGATATATACAATATATTAACTGATGAAAAAAAGTTTTTTATACAATAGGCTTTTGCCAAATAATTTTAAGCCTTATTATTTTCATTTTTCGCTTAAACTAGGTAACTTTACATTACAAAAAAATAACCAGAAAAGAAAAAAGTGTAGTTGTTGTAAGTAAAACATGAATAAACGTATTTATAAGAGAGAGGTTATCTGTATATATATAAATAGAGTTCTCGCGAGTTCTTATTATGAACTGGCTAGATCAACTGCGATAAAATTTAGGTGAGAAACGCAGGTGGAGTCCCGAAGATCGAAACTGAATAGATAAGCAATTGGACAACGGTTCGAGCTTGGCAATCATTTCAATTTTACCGTCTTAATGCCGTAAATGAGGGCTCAATTTAGCGAGTAGGTGGGCAGCAAATTACGTGAACTGACTCTGAAAGTAAGTGACGTTTAATGCCGTGCGCAGCATGGGTACGGCTTTAAATAGTGGGAAGGGACGGCTCCTTCCCCAATATATATATAGCATCACACTTAAGTCCAGGCATTGCCGGATACCTTTCTATAAAACCGTATCATACCTGATATTCTTATTTCACAAAATCACAATGTTGGAATCTTCTACCACAAGCTGACTTTATTTTATTTTTTCCGGGTGTAAGTTGTCCTTTGGACTTCGAATAAGCTACATTATTCTTATTAATTTTGATTTATCCTTCTTTTACTACAAAAAATGGTTCCTTCGAAACGTTTCTTACTAGTTACCAGACGATTATATTTTCTTGAAACTAGGGAAATAATCAGACGTAAAATTCCGTATTAATATTTTCACTAACCGCTGAATTCTTAGTGAATAGTATCTTGTTATCCGCAGAAAGATTTAATCACATAGGGATAATCGTCGCTAATAAGCAGATAATCAGCATTTACTTTTCTACAAAAATTTATATGCGGTTAAGCCTATATCCAAGGCTCCCCAGTGGCACAGCAGTTTGTCTGCGGACTTATAACGCTAGAAACCGGGTTTCGGTACCCCTGGTGGGCAGAGCACAGATAGCCCATTGTGTAGCTTTGTGCTTAATTACAAACAAACAAACTATATCCAAGAATACATTGAACATAAAATAACAAACAATCCATTTGCATATTTTGAGAAAATCCTGAAAGCAAAAAAAAAGAAAAAAATGAAAGAAAACGAAAGAAAAATGAAACAACAACCGGTAAAATATTGCACGATAAACATTCCAGCACTTAAAAACTAATGTCATTTTTAGTGTTAGCCCATCAATACAAAGTAACAACGATCAATTAAGTCATGACGTTTATCAATAACCTGTTAAATAATATTATCTTCACAGTGGACGTTCGTCTGGCAGTTTGTTGTTTCGCAAAACTACATTGTAGGCAATCAGTGCTGTGCCCACCACGGGTACCGAAAGCCGTTTTTTTTTTTTGTTGCATCATTAGCCCTCAGATTTGCGCCTGAGCCACTGGATCGGGGGATGGGGAGATGACTATCAGTAGCCAATTAAAATTTTAAATTCTCTGTTTTTATGTAAATAAATTTATTATGTGTTATCATGATTTTCTTTTTTTTTCAATGCCGCGTTATTTGGAATAAAGCACAGATTGTTTTTTATTGAAACATACCAGAAAAACTGAAATATTTATTTCCTTTTCTTCGTTTCTCTTTCAGAGTCTGGTATAGAACGACGAAGGGAGTTCATCCTCAAGATTTGTTGAATATCTTCTTTAATTTCATCCGTAAAAAAATGTTTTTTTTTCCGGAATGGATATAATTAAATATGATGTGTAGATATGTTATTAACATGATATATTTATTTCTCTATTTAAGAGGTTATTATAATGTAGTGGACACATTTTGTTTTATTGTTGATATTTAACAAAATTAAAACCGACTCATATTACTTAAGAAAATTTCCAATTTCCCACCTTGCAGCTTTTTGTTATGAGTTAAGCCTTTATGAGCTAAAAAATAAAGAGACTAAAGCATTATTTACTCATTGTCGGTTCACCACGGACGTCACTTACTCGTGTGCTTGTTGTAAGTTTATGTTAATGATTTTTAAAGATGTCTATGTATAATTTAGGTACCAGACATAATCATTGGTGGTTTGCAACTTCATCGTCCAAAACGAATTATCATTTAAAGCAGTATACGATTAAAGAGGCCGGGATGGCCAAGTGCCTAGGGCGCTCGACTCGCAATCTGCGGGTCGTGGGCTCGAATCCACGCTACACCAAACATGCTCGCCCTTTCAGCCGTGGGGGCGTTATAATGTGACGGTCGATCCCACTATTCTTTTCTTAGTAAAAGAGTAGCCCAAGAGTTGGCGGTGGGTAATGATCACTAGCTGGCTTCCCTCTAGTTAAATTAGGGACGGCTAACGCAGATGGCCATTGTGTAGCTTTGCGTGAAATTCAAACAAACAAACAATTAAATAATACGAAACTTGAGGAGACCGTGTGAGGTGCTTTTTCTGTATATGTTTTAGACATTTTACGCGTTATTGTTTTTAATTTGTTATTTACGTATTTAAATAGCACGTATTCACAACGAATTAATTATTTCTTGACTACTGTTTGTTGTACAATGCGTACTGCTTCTCAGTGGCACAGTGGTATGTCTGCGAACTTACAACGCTAGAATTCGATACCCGTTGTGGGCAGAGCACAGATAGCCCATTGTGTAGCTTTGTGCTTAATTACAAACAAACAATGCGTACTTATACTGGGAAACCCAAAACATCGCCATCTAGTGTGCAAAATATCTCAGAGAAACAACAGAAAATTAATCATTTATTATATATATAGTATAATTTAATAACACAAAAATATGCACTTTCTTTAAAATCAACCCCCGTCTAACAAAAAATTTCAGTACAAACTACAAAATAAGGAAGAATAAACAAATCACTCTTGTTTGTTTGTTGCACAAAGCTACATAATGGGCTGTGCCCTTGAAGTGTATCGAAACTCGGTTTTTAGCGTTATAAGCCTTCAGATTTACAGCTTTAGCCACGGGGGGGGGGGATAAGCGAATCACACCACCCACACAGATAACTGTCACTTGCGCATAGCCGTCCCTAAGTTTGAGCTGATAGATTAGAAGAAAATCAGCCAGTAAAAAAAAACAACTTACACCAACTCTTGGACTAATCTTGTTTTATCGAATAGTGCAGCTCGACTGTACTTTTTATAGCGATCCACAGTCTAAAAGTGCGGAGCATTTGTTTTTGGTGACAACGGGACTCGAGCTATGAACCTAGAATTCACGACTGGGGCACATTAAACACTAGGTCCCACCCACCATTAAACTAGTTAGTATTTGAAAGGTCTAACTCATGAAATTTCTCTCTAATTAAGTCGAAATCGATATTTTTCTTGTTTAGCAGAGTAAAGGAGAAATCGAAAAACAAGCTTTTCATTTTCTGGTTGTGTGTTTGTTGTTGTAAAAAAAATGGAATACATAATGTGGGGACGATTCAATTAGTATTTTTACCCCAACACAAGTAATTTTGAAGATTATAGAGTTTGATAATGGAAATAACGATAGGTTTTTAATAACAGACGTAACGATAGTTTTGTAACCGATAACACAAACAATAACTCCACGAATGGATTTAAAATTAAAGATTGAGCGTTTTTTAATAATTACGGTACGAATATAAAAAATATTACATGGTGCACAATATGTAAAAAAATATTTGTGGACAAATTACAGAAATTCAAAATGAAAGTTCAAGTGAAATCAGTTTACGTCACGATAACGACTAGCGACAAAAACAGTTTACGTCATGATAAAGACTAGCGGCGAAAACAGTTTACGTCATGATAACGACTAGCGGCAAAAATAGTTTACGTCATGATAATGACTAGCGGCAAAAGAGTTTACGACATTATAAAGACAAGCCGCGAAAACAGTTTACGTCACGATAATGACTTGCGGCAAAAAAACAATTTACGTCATTATAAAGACTAGCGGCGAAAACAGTTTACGTCATGATAACGACTAGCGGCAAAAACAATTTACATCATTATAAAGACTAGCGGCGAAAACAGTTTACGTCACGATAACGACTAGCAGCAAAAATAGTATACGCCATGATAACGACTAGCGGCAAAAACAGTTTACGTCATTATAAAGACTGGAGGCAAAAACAGTTTACGTCATGATAACGACTAGCGGCAAAAATGGTTGTTAGGTAACTAAATAGATGCCCCCTATTATTTCATCAACGTATACTTGTTTATAGCTTTTGTGGTAGAATTATATTGTTTACCTATTGAAACACGCAGGCAGAAGTAAAGACTGGATATGACAAACCATCAAAGAGTGTACTTTGTTAAGAAATGTATCTTTACAAATGAAATAAATATAAAGATAACTTGTTGATCAAATTATGCTAAACCAGTCTCTATACAAGAAACACAAAAAAAAGCTATATATCACCAACAAGTATGTTCCGCGAGACATCTAAACGACCAATATATCATCAACAAGTATGTTCCGCGAGACATCTAAACGACCAATATGTCATCAACAAGTATGTTCCGCGGGAGATCTAAACGACCAATATATCACTAACAAGCATGTTCCACATTATATGTAAACGACCAATATATTATTAACAAGGATGTTCCACGGGAGATCTAAGCGACCAATATATCATCAACAAGTTTGTATCACAGGAGGTCTAAATGACCAATATATCATCAATAAGCATGTTCCACTAGAGATCTAAATGACCAGTATATATGTACATATATATATATATATATATCATAAGCAAGTATGTTTCACAGGAGATTTAAACGACCAATATATCATCAACAAGTATGCTCCACATGAGATCTAAACGACCAATATATCATCAACAAGTATGTTCCGCGAGACATCTAAACGACCAATATGTCATCAACAAGTATGTTCCGCGAGACATCTAAACGACCAATATGTCATCAACAAGTATGTTCCGCGAGACATCTAAACGACCAATATGTCATCAACAAGTATGCTCCACATGAGATCTAACCGACCAATATATCATCAATAAGCATGTTCCACAGGAGATCTAAACCAACAAGTATGCTCCACATGAGATCTAAACAACCAAAACGTGTGATTTCTTACTGTAAATCCTGTTGTTGTTTTTTAATCTTGGATTATTGACACTGATTAACGAATGATTAATGTTTTTGAAGAGAAGAAATAGAAAATGCCCAGATCAAGGTTTTCTGTCAGAGTTAACAAAGGGGCGAAACTTTTGTTGGCATAACTAATAGCTTCAATCATTTGACTTGTGTATCCTAATTATTAACCTAAAGGCGGTCGTTTAAACTAAGCCCAACTTAACCCTCGCACTTTAAGAAAGGCTTTGTTTGTTTCTATGTTTAAGCGTAAAGCTACACGATGGACTATCTGCGCCGTGCCCACATCGGGTACCGATTCCCAATTATTAGCGTTATAAGTCCTAAGCCTTACAGCTGAGCCATCTATCTAGAATGACGGGTGGAGGGGAGTGGCTTCTTGAAGACTTTACTTACTATACATTTGGTGATTATTCCCTTAAGTAAAACATTTAATAGATTTGTTAATTGAATGATTGAACTGTATTTAACATAAGGCCGAAGGTTTTTAAGCATCTTCCTAAAAACACCTGATAAAAATGAATGGCTTTACCGCTAAAAATTGGGGAGAGAGAAACATTGCTTTGTTTGTCGGCGTATAGCTACATAATAGTCTCTCGTTTTTTCTGCCTACCGCTGGTATCGAAGCCTGATTTTTGCATTATAAGCCCTCAAACTTACTGCTGAGCCACCATGGGGAGGGACGAACACATTTCTTTCTGTGTGCACAGCTCGTCTCAGCGTGTTTGATTTAGCTCAAAGAATACAATAGGCTGTCTGTGCTTCGCGTAACGCAGGGATCGAATCCACATTTAAGCGTCATAAGCACAATTGTTTGTGAACCAGCGGAGGACAACAAAGATCTAAACAGCCACATGTTTTGATGTCATACATGGATGTTTTTCACTCTACCTTTGAAACCAAGTGGAGCTTATTGAATGAGAATAATATTGTAAAATATATTTGGTGTGGTCTTTCTGAATTTAATTCTACTGATGTGACATGTTATAGTTATACGAGGCTTGCAGAGCTAGAAAGGTATACTTACAACATTCAAACAATTTATTTTCCACACCAGTATACAGTAATGTCAGTCAGTAAACACTAAAATGACGTCATATAAGGATATTTAATGCTGCAATTTGTACTGTCGTGACGTCAGTAAAACGTGCGCATGCCACGAATCACGAGAAGAATTGTGCACTTTCTAGGCTACAATACAGTATGACATATGAACTTCAAAAGCAAGAAATAAAAAATATCTGCTACTCTTAATTTTGTCTTTATTTACTCTTGAAACAGAACACACTTGGGTACATTGAGGAAGTACATCTAATTAATATGTTTATTTGTAATATTTTTGTAAAATCGTCACCAACCTTTCATCGGTTTTTAGTGTGTGAACTACCGCTCCTCTTCTTTGCTCATAAAAAAAAAGTTAGAAGCCGGAGTATCAAAAAGCATGTTAAATTCTAAAAATTAAAACACGTTTAGACCACGTTTTACTGGAAAACACCCGAATATTTACGGTAGAGCTTCTAAGGTTATGTGCTGCCATCCCTAATTTTGAACTACTGCCAAAGAGAAGACAGTCAGTCAGTAGCACCCTACCACGATAAAGGATTAACTGCCACCCTTATAACTAACCTAAGAGTTAAAAAGCGAGGAGTATTTTATGGTATGGAATAGATACTAACTCGGCTCGCTGGCTCCAAAATTTAAAACTTTACCACATGGCCAATTCGTGCTATAAAGAAAGTTGCATCTATTTGTTTTGTTTTTTTGGTAAATAGTGAAAACATTTATTTATAGTTTCTTCTTATAGAAGTAATTATTTGAAACGAAAGGC